AATCAACAACAATTCACCACCTCCACATACGATGTTCCCATACTCCCATGTTATATTAATGCACAAAATTAAATTGCCTCCACACGGGCCGATGCTTTCTATCAAGAAAGTAATAGCCTCCTTTTGGGCTTATGCTTGGACAAGAATTTAAACAATGTGATAGCCTCGACAAGGGCTATCTCGCAAGCATGTAGAGAATTGAACAATTATAGTAAAAGAAATTCAAGGAAGCTCACGAACGTCTGTAGCAACAATGTCACAGTGGTGCCAATATCCAATGCTTGCTCCTCTTCTTTTCAAGTACCTAATTGAACAACAGGGATTTGTAAGAAAATAGTAATTTAAAGAAAACAATCAAATTAGCCCTAATGCCTAATTCAATTCCAACTAAACCGTCAATCCCCGGCAACGGCGCCAAAATTATGATGCGACCCGAGTTTGTGCACAAAATAATGCACAACACTTTAGGTTTAGAAATAATGTCAAGTGGGCATCATATTTTAAAATTTATAAAACCACTAAACACTTATACTATGTAGTATGAAGCGAGTAGGGATCGAACCCAAGGGATTGAACACGTGTTGGAATTAAACTTGATTTTAGTGCTAATGAGATTGCACAAGAGAGGGAGAGAAAGAGAGAGAGAGAAAAAGATTTTTGGTGAAGTGATTAAACTAGAGTTAAATCGAAAGCATGGAAATAGAAATGACAACGCAAGTAAATTAAATTAAATTAAACTAAGAATTAAAGAGATATGAAGAGAGTCTTAGGGTTAGGATTCACCACTAAGCTCATGCAATTAACCATATGCTTTCAATTAATGGGGAATTCATTAGTGTAATTATAGATGTAGCCACATTATCATCACAAATCACAATTGTAAGCATAGATTATCAACATCAAGAATGAGTTGTCTACTTAATGACAATTAAACTAAAGTGTAGAACCCATTCAATACTACGTCATAACCCACCATACACATTCACAAATGTATCAAATAAGAGCACACATCAATCAAGAGAATAATACTAATTGTAATTAGAAGCATGGATTAACATAATCAAACACAATTTGCCTACTTAACTACAATTAACTAATAACAAGAAAGCTAATTTGTAGAACAACCCATCAAGATTAAGCCTTTATCTATCAAATTAATGGACAATTGTATCAAATAAGTATCATGTTATGGCCATCACTAAACACAACTACAAGAAGTATTTAATGTAGAATATAATCCTAAAGCAATCACACATAGACATGCAAATTACATATAGAATTAATGAAAGAATTAAGTTCTAATCATCTAATGAAGAATAAAATCCCTAATTAATCATACATAGACATACAATCAATTGGAGATTTCAATGGAAGAATTCATCAATACAAACCCTAATTTATCAAATCAAGCATGTATATATAAAGAAATCACAAGGCCATATAATTTAATTACAACATAATAATTCCCCAAGAAAAGAAATACAAAGGTTAGGGTTACATGAACTTAGGGCTCATCCAAGCCCTAAGTGAAGAACTAGCTTATGGAGAAGATGATCATGGTGTCAACAAGCTCCGTCTCCATCTTTTGGCTCCTTCTTCTTCTTCCTTCAATTATAGACAAAGCCTCTGTAAAAATGTTCTTCAAACCCTAGCTTTTCCTTTTTCCCCCAGAGAGAACGTGATATCACGATACAGAAAAACTAAAAAAAAACTTAATAATAAAAAAATAAAACTCTCTCCTAAATAAAATAAAAACTAACCCTAAACTAATGACTCACTGGGCCTTAAGTAATAACCCTATTTAAGCCCAATAGTTCACAAAATAAGCCCAAACAATAAGAAAAATCTGTAATGTTGCCAAGTCCTGGGGGATCGATCCCCCCAGAGTTGGAAATTTCCTTTAATCCCTATTTAGCTCCATTTTGGCCCCGAGCTCATTAGTTTGCTTTTTCATCTTTGGGAACATCATCAAAGGCCTGAGATTGACCGCTTTTGAAGAATAAACACACTATATGAGCAATGGGCTGCGACCTCCTTTTTGCCATTTTCTGAACTTTTTCTGAATATCTTTGCTTGACTCCAAAAAGGCTTTAATGGACCGTTTTTAGCTCATGTTAACTTTATTGCCCTGAAATACATATAAACATAAATTAGGACTAAAACATGAAATTAAGATAGATGCAATGACTGAAATATCCTAGCTTAGGTGCTGAAATGTGCAACATTTAAGCACTTATCATTGATCTAAGCTTGATTATATGTTTTCATTCCTCATTTATAACTTCATACTCGTCCTGCCCTGTTGGGGTAACAGTACATGATTTAGACTCATTAATCAACTTGTTCAATTTTTTCTTAATGTTTGGGGTCACCAATCCTTCCCAAGTCTACTCATCAATTTGTTCCTAATACCATCAAACAGCCTTAAAATATTTTAGACCTAAGCTTTCCAACCCAATTATTGAATGACTCACTAAAATTATTAATGACATGGTGTAATACCCCTAATTTTAAAAGGATAGTCTCGATATTTCTTTTATAGTTTTATTGCAATTATTTTTGTTTATATGGCTATTTGTTTAATTGGTTAATTGTTTATTTTCATTATTTATTTATTTGGCTTTTTGTTTAATTAGTTAATTGTTTAATTGATTTATCTGTTTACTTGATTGTTTAATTGATTTATTATTATATGCTTATGTGGACTTTTAAATTTATTGTTTAAATTAAATAGAGTTGGGGTTGGATAGTAATAATGGACCAACAGTTTGGGTCACATGGATTACTTGGATAGGAGATTAAATGGGTACGGTTATTACCCATGGATGGTTATACATATATAAATGGATATATGTGTATAGAAGGTTAGTTTAATTATTAGTATTATAAATAATTAAATTAGTATTAATATTCTGTAAATATGTATTATATGGTTTTAGGAATTAATATATATTTGAGATTATTACGTGTGGGATGATAGACTTACATATATATATAATTCTTTTATATTATATTTTCTTTTATTTTTCGTTTATGTCTCCTCATTTAATTAGAATTAAGTTTTCATATAAGCCTATATATATAGTGTTATGTGTCTGCCAAGGGTTTTAGAACCCTTTTCACGTAACAGTGTCGACAGAGAGATATTACGGAGAGGTTTCAGAGAGAACTGAGGGAACGAACTAGAGTTTTTGCCGAGAGCAAAAGCTGAACCAAGGGGAGGTTATTGAAGACTGCTTGTTGGTTGAACCAGGAGCAGTAGAGGAGTAGAGAACAGTCGAGGATTTGCCAGAAAATCTAAGATGACGACGTTGAGATTTTAATCCGAAATCTTAGAGGCAAGTTCTTTCTCATGCTCTTTCCCTTAGATTTGTGTTCTGTGCATGCCTAGATAGTCTCCAGGATTAATCAGACATTAAAATTGGCTTTATGTGCATGTTAATCCATAAATTAAACTTTATATTGTGTTTGAAATTGAGTTATCGAATCAATTGTTTCATCATATGTGTTTTAATTGTTGTTAGTGATGCATACTGGGTTTATATAATAATCTGGAATTATTCGTGTAATACCCCTAATTTTAAAATGATACTCTCAGCATTTTGTTTATTGTTTTATTTTATTTTTATGTGATTTAATACGTATTAAATTGGTTGTTTAATTGTTTTATTATTTGGGTTGTTTTAACTGTTTAATTGTAGTTAGTTAATTAGTTGCCTTAACTGTTTTATTAATTATATTACGTGATTAACTGATTGGATTATTTAATTGGGTTCATTTCATTAAATTATATTTTTGGATGTATTATTTGATTAATGGTTAATTATTAAATTGGTTTGCATTAAGCTGTTATTTGTTTTATTGTAAATTAGAGTTTTATTTTTATGATTCACGTTAGCCGCCGTAGGTTACAACTTAGGTTGCTTTATGAGCCGACTGGGATTGGAATTGGGGGTTAGTCTCTAAGTATACATGAACTAGGGTTATTGTTATAAGCCTATAAATATAAACATTTGGAGAACAGTAAGCGTAATTCTGTAAAACAGTGATACAGAGAGAAAAACAGATGAGGGAAGGCTAGGGTTTGGTTTAGACCAAGGTTGGACCAAGGAAGAGGAAGGAGTGGTTGTTCGTTGGCGAAACTAAGAGCAACAAAGGTGGAACAGCAGTCTGGGACGTTGACGAAAAATTCAGAGGCGGTGGTTTAGAGTTTCAAAACTGAAACTCAAGGCAAGTCTCTGTTCTATTCTTTCCTTTAAACCTGTGTTCTATGCATGCCTAGGTAGGCTCCAGGGATTGAATAAATGTTAAAACGGATTAAACGAATGGTATAACATATCATTTATGCATGCTTAAACAATATTTAATTTCATTGAATTATCTGTGTTGTGTTGCTTAAGAATTTATAACAGAAACCCTGCTGCCGTTGTTTTCAAACGTTGGGTTCAATTCATGTCGTGGTTGTATACCAATGGTTTAGGATTAATCTGGGACTAAGATTGGACCCTGGAATAAATATTAAAAACATTACAAAGGCCTTGGGAATCACCAGAGGCGAGGAAGACGAAACAGAACGGACAGACGACTCTTCGGAAGAGAAAGCAGGCTCTAGGAAAAGAGGGAGCCAGCTCCCTCAAGGCAAGAGCCGGCTCCTACATGGATGGAGCCGGCTCCTAGCTTATGAGAGCAAGCTCCCAATGTTAGGGAGCCGACTCCCAGTATGTAGGAGCGGGCTCTCAACTTGTGTTTCTCATTTTTAATTCACATCTGATAGATATTTGTTTCTCATTTTTAATTTTTTTTATATTACATCCCTCTTGGACATAAAAATCAACCAAAATATCCCTGAAATGGTTTACATTGAGAAATAGATGACCTTCTTGTAACTTAATATTTCCATCCAAACCTCTCTCAAATGGAATTCCATTTATACAGTTTGAAAAGGACCTAGCCCTTGTTGTCTCATATTTTTGTTGTTCAATATTTATCTCACACTCTTATTATTCCACATCCTTTTTGTCCATATATAAGTCATTATCAATTTCAGTACTAGCATCATATCCAGATTCATAGTCTGACGTACCATCCTCACTGTGGTTATCATTTTCCTCCACATTCCTATTCCCATCATCATTGTGAACTGGATTCTTCCCATTCCCACTATTTTTCCATTCCTCATTTTCAGAACTAAACCCAAATATATTATTATCATTTTCCAAATCATACTTATCCTCAGGCTGTCCTCCATTGTTCCCATTTACATTGGTGTCATTGTCATTCAGATTAATGTCATCACTGTCATTGACATTAGTTTCATTGTCTCTTATATTACTGGCATCATTGTTATTAACATTTGTCTCATTATCATCCAGGTTACTATCATCAAAGTCACTGTCATCAAAGTTCTTATCATCAAAGTCCATTGTCTCAATTGAGCTAAATTTAGGATTTACATTAGTGATAACCTTGTCAATATACAAGTCTATCAATCTCTTTCTAGCATTTACTTTAAACATCTCTAACACATCTTTATCACTATCCATAGGCATTATAGCAGAAGACCTAGGAATAACACATGACAAATACAGTGACAAAAGGGACAGTAGGTGGAATATGAGATAAAATACCCCAATTATAAAAGATGCTATAAAAATCCGAATCCACACCAGTTATAAAAAGTTAGGTTCTTCTAGTAGTGAACAACAACATCATGAATTGATTCCATCACTGTAATGATTAAAATTGTAAAAAAATAAATAATAAACAAAATTTACCCAAAACAATGAACTGAACAACTACCTCCAAAATAGACAGAATTGCAATTATAAAAACCATAAACTAAATAGAGTAATAATAAACAGAAACCCTAAACTAAATATAGAGCAATTAAAAACAGAAACCTTAAACTAATAAGAAACACCAAAACCCTAACTTTTACATTTTGATTTTGCAAAAAAATTAAGTAGATATAGTAGAAATTTCCACATACCTTTAACTCAGAGCACTTCAGTGTCGCAGATCAGTAGGTTGTAGTTCCAATTATTTTAATGCGATGTCGCACAAACCTTAACTCATTTTTTGTAGAAACGAACTTGGATTTGATGCCAAAAATGGAAAGAGAAATCGTTTGTTGATGCGATCTTTTATAAATCCCTTTTTCTCTCTATCAATGCGAACTTTGGGTTTGGCAGATCACATATAATCTTTGTCTCTATCTCTCAAAATGTTGAAATGATATAAAACCCTAACTTAGACAATCTTATATTGATTAGGCATATGAAGTGACGTCAGTTTTAGGAAACAGAGGTACAATTGATGACAATTTTCCATTCAAAAGGATATGTATAAGGCAGCTGTGTATAACTAACACAATAACGTCATGCTTAGTCAATATCATATGGGTACTTTAGTAATTTTAAATGGCAACGTGAGGGCAATTCAGTAAATTTGATAGGTCCGTTAGTGCATTCGATGGTCCGTCACACATAAGGGAGGTCCGTGTAGGATATTTTCATTGTTTTGAGAGGTTCGAGTAAATTACCATACCACATGAGAGGTCCATGTAATTATGACAAACCATAAAGGAGATCTGCATAAATTACCCCTTAAAAATATAAGATATACCACTTAGGAGAAGGGTGTGTAACAAAAAAAAGTGATCAAAACTTAAATGAATGAGGTTACTAAAAATAAATATCAAAGAGGTACATGGATTAATAAAAATAACGAAAATAAGATTTAAAGTAAATTATATGAACATTATATGAGGTTTGAATAAATTACACATAATTTACTGTTGACTTTTATTAATTTCGATCTTTATTGAGTTAACAGGTAGAGTGACACAAATGATGATGATTTTGCACGGAAGGGCTTAAATGACTTATTAATTTATAAGATATTTGTAATACGATATATTATTATGTTTAGGGCATAAAATGACTTTTACACATGTTAAAAGGTCAAAGTAATAAAGATAAAAAATTATGTAATTTGTCAAAATTTTAAGAGAAGTTACTATAATTTATTCTAAAAATTTTGTGGTGTATCCTTTAGGGTTACACCTCAGGTGGGTTGGGCATGTTTGTGGTATAACTTAACCCAACCACCATATAAAATACTAAATCTAAGTTCAACCATAACCTTATCCTCAACCTTAACTATTCAACCCAAGTGCCAATCCATCCTTTTACTTTTTAAATTCGGGCTTAGATTTCAAATAAAAATTTTGGGTTACTCACATGGCTAATTTTTACATCGAAAATTTAATTTGATCTTGAATTAGCTGTAGATTAAATTACTTTTAAACAAGAAAAAGTTTAAAGACTTTTTGTAGATTTTTAATAAATTACAAACAATTTTTTTTGAAAATTAATTATCCTAAATGTTAACATACAATAAGTTAAGATTTAACAAAAGAAGTTGAAAATAAAAAAAAGTAATCATATTTTAAATATTATATATAATGTATTTAAAAGTAAAAATATACATGAAAATAATATTAGAATTCGGGTTCGGGTTGGCTTGGCTTGCTAGCACTTCACCCTAAGCCCAACCCTAATTAAATTCGGGTTGAGATTTTTCAATCCAAATCCAACCCTAATTGTAAAAATGATTACTTAAGCCCGTGAAAAATTAGATTGGGCGTGGGTTACCTAACCCAAGTTGTGCCTTTAGTATCCTTTATGTGAGTAGATATTGGGTGCATTAGGCACGCCATGTCATTAGTGTGCCATTTAATGAAAAAACGGAATATACTATCACTATTGAGTAGGGCTGCAACTCGGACAAGTTTGAGGTATAACTTGAGCCCAACCCATCACATGAAATGCTAAGCTCAAATCCAAATCCAAATCCAAATCCAACCCTAACCTTATCCTTAACCTTAACTATTCAACTCGAACCCAACCCATTATTTTACTTTTAAATTCGGGCTTGCAACTTAGAATTAGATTCTGAGTTAAAATTTCGAGTTAATTCGAGTTACTCATATGGTTAATCTTTATACCGGATATTTAATATGATTTTAAATTAGTTTTAGATTAAATTACTCTTAAAGAAGAAGAAGTTTAAAGACTTTTTGTGAATTTTTAATAAATTATAAAGAAATATTTAGAAAATTAATTATCCTAAATGTTAACATACAATAAGTTAAGATTTAACAAAAAAAAGTTGAAAAGAAAAAAAGTAATCATAGTTTAAATACTATATATAATGTATTTAAAACTAAAAATATATATGAAAATAATATCAGAATTCGCGTTCGGATTGGCTCGGGTTACTAGTACTTCAACCCAAGTCCAACTCTAATTAAATTCAAGTTGATAATTTTTAACCCAAGCCCAACCCTAATTGTAAAAATGATTGCCCAAATCTGTAAAAAATCGTGTTGGGTTTGGATTACCCAACCCAAATTACACTTCTACTTTTGAGTCTAGAAGATAAGAACAGAACTTGTCTAAGGTTCAAGAAGTTATATGCATTCAAAAGACTCGAACCTGGGACTTGTAGCTTCATAAAGCCCAAAGTCCAAAAGGTTTTTCTTGGCCCAACCACCATTTCACCTACATTAGAATGATACCATTATTATTTGATTGAAGAATGTCATTTTTCTTAATTTCCTTTTATTGCTTACCTTGGAGCCAACACGACTTGGTCCATAACACTTATTAAGAAGTGTACCTGGAAGGAGAAGCAAACATTACTACTGTGAAGAGTGGCTTCCTATTTAATTTTTTTTTAATAATAAAATAATATATTATATTTTACTCGATGGACACACTAATAACATGTCGCAGTTGACACACGCAATATCTCTTCCCTTTTTATTCTAGGAATGAAAGTGCTATAAAAAAAAATAAAATAAAAAGAACACCTACGATGTGGCTGTTTTGGTTTAGCCTTAGAATACGGCGCCGTATAATGGTTATGACAATGCCTAACGACGTCGTAGGAAAATGTGCTCTGTTCACACGGTTCCCGTAGCCCCATAATGAAGCGGAGCACACACGTGGATCTTGCAATGTCACGTGTCTCGTCCGCGTGTGAGACAAATTTTGTAGTCCCGCCACTGTATTGAAATCAAAAACCCCAAACCAAATAAGAATCCCTCCTTTTAATTCAACCCACCCATTATCTTATACAGTAGCACTATTTCCTCCTTCCTCCACAAGTTTTAGACTGACTACGGAGACTTCTTTCCAACTGCTTCTCATTAATTGATACACAAAGAAGATACACTACTCACTAGCGTGTGTATATATATATTTCTATATACCCAATTCTCGTGTTCCTCTCTCCTCAAAGATTTACCTGATTTTGAATCTACAGAGTCGAGTCGGTTCGCTTCAATGTTGGAAACCAGACCAGATTCATCACCATTTGACCACCCTTCTCAAACTTTCGCTGGTGTACGTTTTGTCCTCCTCGGATTCGATCCAATCGATGACAACAAGGTTTTTCTCTTCCAATTTAATTTCTTTCTTCCATTTGTATTTAATTATTATTTTCTTCTATTGCTCGAGGTTATTAAATATGTTGGCTTGGATGGGTTGAAATTTACTTATCTATTCATCTATTATTGTACACTATAGGTTCGTTTTAAACTTGTTAATGGTGGCGGGATTGATGTTGGTCAGTATAATCCGAATTGCACACACGTTATTGTTGACAAGCTCGTTTATGTAAGTACTACTAGTATTTCTTGAATTTTGTTTTTCATTTTAATTTCATAGTATTATCACTTAATTCGCTATTTTTCTGGTGCAGGATGATCCTATATGTGTCGCGGCTCGAAGAGATGAAAAGACACTAGTCACAGCCTTATGGGTTGATCATAGTTTTGATATTGGAATGCCTGTTGATCCCACAGCTGTAAGTTTCTCATACAATTTCCTCTCTCTATATATTTTTAAAATGTTAAATTTTATTTTATTCATCTTGGTTAGTTATTTTGACGATGGACCAACATTAAGCGCCTAACACACTACGGAATTAACTTTTAAATTATAAACTCCTAAAATCAATGATAGAACTGCCCCTTTCTGGCAGGCTTGAAATGCTCACACAAAGTGTGTATTAGTTCTAACAAAATTTCTTATATCTGTTTATGCATTTATTTAATCTAGACTACATCCCAATTTTATGTGTGAGTTTGAACATCAGCAGAAGTTTTGTCTGATCAGATAGCCTATCATGGTATGTCAATTTGTCATGTCACATTTTACCTTTTGATTTCTTGTTCTAGCACTACACGATCAATTTATATTACCAGAGTTTTATGTTGCTTTGGTCCTTGTATTGTAACACAGATACAAAATTTAAAAGCCTTCTAGAAAGGGCAGTTCTATCATTGCTTTTAGGAGTTTATATTGGTTTAAATGAAATTAAACCAATCTTATAAACATTTAATTTTCATGTGATGTTGGCATACATTGTATACGAGTTACTAGTTTAGTCTCTATGTCTCTGTCAGAGCTACTTTAAATTCCACTCCCCCCGGTGCCTGGTGGGTTACCTGCATGTAAGTCCCGCATTTTTTAGGTGGTTAAAAGGGGGATTTTTGCAAATTTTAGCTTTCCTAACAATATTGATATATACATATATATTTTGTGTTTATCTACTCTTTTACAGATTTTGTACCAACCTGTAAGAGATTTGAATGGAATTCCCGGTGCAAAATCTCTAATAGTTTGCTTGACTGGATACCAACGGCAATGTCGAGACGACATTATGGTTTGTGACTGAATTTTTGAGATTTCATTATTTTTTATGATTAAAAGTCTCATATAATAGTTGCTTTTGTGATTGCCAACGGCGATTTTAGAAAATGAGGTATCAAACTGCCATGCCATCTTACTATCTTTTGTGCTTTTCTGGTCAGACAATGGTTGGCCTGATGGGTGCACACTTCTCCAAGCCCTTGGTAGCAAACACAGTTACTCACCTTATATGCTACAAATTTGAGGGTGCGTTGTTTTTCCCATTCTCATGGATTACTGATAACTTATTAGGACTAAAATGGAATATCTTTACATTTTTCATTTTTATTAATACATGTTATGTTATTCCATAAGTCAATGATCATCTAATAAGAAAAGATCAGCACATTTGGCAGTATCTTTTCAAAGTACTGTCCTTAGATTTGGATATATAGCTCATGCTTGGCAGCTTGAGCTTTTACCATTCCACCAACCCCCTTCTTAATTTTTCTTTATTTTATTCCTTTTTAGAAACTGTCAGACAACTTTTGAGGACTGAGGTTATACTAATGGATCATCAGGTAAACCAGTAGGACAAAAATATGAACAAACAGTTGGAAAAAACTATAGATATCACAATTCCCGCCCCCCCGGGGGGGGGGGGGGGGTGGGGAAAGGGGGAAGATCAGATTTTTTGAATGCTGCACAGTTGTCTATCATTTCAGTTCAATGCTGCTTTATTGCACATTTACCTTCAAAAGTCAGTGGTACTCCAAGTACCCTGCCGTATCTAGTGTTTAGTGATCGAGTATGTTGTACATAAAATTGGGTTGTACTTTGCTCTTATCTTCTTGTATTGCATTACAAAAATGGATGCTGCATTGTGGATATTCTTGTTTGATTTTAGCAAGGTTGGTATTCTTTTTGCTGGATTAGTTTTCTTGTGCATTTATTCTGCAAGACGAACAATTTACGGCTTTCTACTGCAAAATTTGTTCTGCAAGATGAACAATTTAGCCAGTAATTTCCAACAATTTTTGTGTTATCAGAAGATGTAGGCTTTAAACTAAGAAAATAGGCTTGGTAACCATCTTTCAGAATTGATTTTTCCAATAAGGCTATTAATATCTCTGCTCAAGCCTTAAGGGTAATTTACACGTTGCACATTTGTATATGTGCATGTATAGTGTATATATGTGAACATGAATTTATATATGTCAATATTAGCATCTATAGGTTTGTATAATTTATGGATGTTTATGTACATGTAGGGCATATATAGACACATTTATGTGTATAAGCATGTATATAGGCATGTGCACACATATATTGACATATGTACTTGTATTAGCATGTCTATAAGTGAATATGTGTGTACAGAAGTTTATATGAGTATTGATAAATATACAGGCACATATAGCTCAGTGGGTACATAGGTGTAGGTTAGAATAGACATAGCAATATGTGAATATTTAGATGTACACATGAATATATGTTCATATGTATGTGTGCGTATGTGTTTGTCTGCATGCATGCTTGTATATAGAGATATGCATAAAACATGGTCATAGATGTATTAGTGGGATGTGACTATGAGGGAGGTTGGCTGACAGGCCTGATCAAATAACCCAAAGTGGAAGTGAAGAAAAAGCAACTATCTTTGTTTTTTATTTATTTATATTAAATAGACAAATACCTAAAGTGTTGCAAAATGGTATAATATTAATTTAATTGCTTGTAATATTTCGTGAAGTTTCTCTGACATATAAACGCTTTTCAATCACTTGTATGACATGTCTAGTGAGTGCTTGAATTATATCATATTCTAACTAGAGGTTGCCATTTTAATAGGGGAGAAGTATGAGCTTGCCAAGAAAATAAAAAGGATAAAGCTTGTTAATCATCGGTGGCTGGAAGACTGGTACGTCTAGGATAGTATTCCTTACTTTTTTAGTAGTTGAGCATATTCGTCTAATTTGAATGACTTTTAGATTATGTGAATAACATATGGCTGGTTGTCCTTCTCTTATTTGGAATTTCACTTACATTAACCTTCTTTTATTTTTTATTACAGTTTAAATGCTTGGGAAATTGTTCCAGAAGATAGTTATGATAAGAGGTGAGATACGAGCTAATATGCTTAGTGTTGTAATGTAGGTAAGGTTTGCACTGTTACACGTATGTATGTACATTGCTATATATTTTGCATAAGGTTGCTGCTTGATTTAGGTGTTCATACTAGGTTAGAGGGTTTCAGATATATGTCTCTCCCTATACATTCACAGATTTAAGCACTTCAAAAGATGGTCTAATAAACATTCATTGGCATATAACAATTTTGCTTTAATATTCTTCTGTTTTCAGGATTTTATGGAACTTATCTTCTTTACAGTCAATATGCCGGTTTAGTTATGGTCCTTATGGAGTTTTGTAACTATAAATGTAATCTTGTTATTCTTGTTTTATTACGTTTTGTAGATAATAATTGACCAATCTTGTTATTCTTGTTTTATTACGATTGTTAGATAATAATTGACCACTTTTTTCTCCAACACTTGGCGCTAGAGTACATAGCATAAAATATGCATGTCTCGTGTTCTTTTTTTATTTTTTGTTTTAAAACTAAACTCTTTCTCCCTCCCCCCTCTCTTTCTGTTTCTCTCCCCCTCGTTAGTGGCTACGAGTTAGAGATGATGGAGGCTGAAGCTAAAGATTCTGAAGAAGAAGCAGAAGACAGTCAAGACATCGCAAAAAAGCTACGTAGAGAGAATCAAATCAATGCAAGCCCTCCTAATTTGCAAATTGGAATGTCAAGAGCGAATCAATCTCCCGTATTAAAAGGGGAGGGTTCAAGGAACCTGCTAAATACAAGTGCATCTAAAAGCTTGTCAAATGTTGACAATACTAATGACATGGTATTAGCCACTGGAAAGACGATCACATCTGATCAAGCTGCTGCTTTGAATGAACCACATGACAGAACTCCAGTTTCTGCCAAGGCTGGATTCGACTTGCCTTGTACTTCTGGAAGTGCCAAGAAGTCTCCTCCTTCTGATGTAGCGAAGTTAAGTGCTATTAGTTACTCAAGGAAAACTATAAGGAGTACCACACTTCCCATGTACTCGGGAGAAATGGAAAGCAATTTAAGTAGCTTACCAAAAATAAATATGGAAAAATCCAATGTCATGGATGGTTTTGACCTCTCTTCCTCCAAAGCAGAACAAGATAAGGATGGAAGTGGAACTGATTTTCGTCGTGTCAGAACCACTCTGAAGGGAACTGGCCTAACCTACGAAGAGGGAAAAATTGGCACTTTGCCTGAAAAGAGGAAGCTGGATGTTTCTTGTGTTACCTCCAAATTACAGAAGACGAGGCACAGTCCAGAAGCATTCATATCTAAAGGTCTACACGTGAGCGATGGAGCTGAAGTGTCGGAACCTGCATCTTTGTTAGATGGCCCATTTGAGGTAAGTAATCATCTTTCTCCTGGCAGTAATGCCCATTATATGGACGGAACTGCTGCTCCGAGTTTTTCGAATTCTTCTGTCAACTTGTCAACACCAAAGACCTCGAGTTATACCAGGAGCTCATTGCCTCACGATATGCCGATTTCTAAAATTGACATCTCAGAGATTAGGCAAGGTAGCAATGTGGTGGAGGCATCTCGAGTGTCCTTTGCCGGATTAAAAAGGACCAGCTTGGCTGGCAAGCCTGAGACCACAGATGTTACGAGTAAGGTAGAACATGCTATGAATGAAGTTTGGGGGCCACAGAATGAACTGCAAGATATTGAGGTCCCATCTGCCAGAACCAAAAGCTTAGAGATTGAGAAATCCAATAGTCCTGCTAACTTGGACTTGCGCAAAGGAGTAAATTCTGACTCACTTTCAAAACCACTTAGGAGAAAGACGGTTGCCAAGAAGAATTTGGGTTCTAGACCAAAGTTAGGTACAGGTAATTCTACAAATGAGAAAGGTCCTATTTACTTAAATCAAACTGCCTCCCAAATGGATGCTGTAACCTGTTCGAGTGGAGGGGAAAAGACTGCAGGTCGTAAGGAGTTTGTTAATTCTGAGAAGGTTGAGACGGTCACTCCAAATGTTACCGTGGGTACAGCAACAGGGACTGGGACAAATAATGTCTCAAAACCTGACAATGAGGCTAATACCATATCCATGGATGATGAAACTGAAGCTCCAGAGGAGAAAGATGATCATCAGTTAGAGGCTTCAGTTAATGAAGAGAAGTCTGGAAAGGTTGAACCAGCACATATGGTAGATATAGTGATGGGAGAGAAATCAGGTGAGGATCTTGTAACAAATCAAACCAAACGTAAAGTTTTGGGTTTGCATGATTGTGCAATGACTTCAGATGAAAATGAAAGTGGAACTGGATTTGAAAAGGCAGTTTGTGCGCAGAGGATCAAGCTGGGTGAATCAACCCGTAAGGACAGTGCTGTAAAAGGGAAAATAATTAAAGGGAAAAAACATCCATCAAGTAAAACAAAGAAAAAGTCTCTTCCTACTGCAACAGAGATAAGGTCATCAAATGAAAGAATCAATAGGGATAACGCCAATAATGAAAAAAGTAAGGAGAAGATTGAAATTAAAAAAGAGAAAATTATTCCATATCCAGCAAGGAAAACCAAGAAAAGTCTACCTGTTTTCAGGTCAGATAACTCTGTGGAGGTGGAGAAGGAGAAGGAGAAGGAGAATAGGCCTATTGATATTGGAGGTCAAAATGTCAGTCATGGGGAACAGCAGGATGGGAAATTAGCTTCAAAATCTAATAGGACACCTATGAAGATTGATCTGAAGTCTGGTCAGACTTGTCGAGAAAGAGTTCCAAAAGTGAAAGTTGAACCAGTGTGGTTCATACTAAGTGGGCACAGGCTACAAAGAAAGGAGTTCCAGCAGGTTATTAGGCGTTTGAAAGGAAGGGTTTGCAGAGATTCTCATCAATGGTCGTATCAGGCAACACACTTCATTGTACCAGATCCAATAAAGAGAACAGAAAAGTTCTTTGCTGCTGCGGCATCCGGAAGGTACAGCCTCATCAACACTAGTACTATCAGAACTTTGAATTTATGGCCTATCACCTGATATATAGATGGTAACATCTAACATTAATATTTAAAAGGGTGCGCTCTCTTTCTGAGGTTGGACACTCCAGCAATGATGATAGTGCTCCTTGTGAGGAGATTGGAGTCGTCCTAATTGAGAATCCTTGACTTTTTAATTATTTAATTAATTTTGCCTCAAAATGCAGGTGGATTCTGAAGACTGATTATTTAACTGCTAGCAGTCAAGCAGGAAGATTCTTGGTGGAGGAGCCCTATGAATGGCACCAGAACAGCCTAAGTGAGGACGGATCAATTAACTTAGAGGCCCCAAGGAAGTGGCGTCTATTGAGGGAGAAAACAGGTCATGGTGCCTTCCACGGAATGCGTATTATCATATATGGAGAATGCATTGCTCCTCCTCTGGTACGTTTTACAGTTTCCTGCATTATAAATTTGTAATTTTTATGCTAGTGCAGTCACATCTCTTAGGATTGACTAGATATCTTCCATAAACTATCTTCTTACTGGCTTGTCTTGTTTTTTTAACAAAAGAAGGAATAGTAATCTTATTATAGTTGTTTGTCTTGTCTGCATATTCTTTGTACTCTTTGTTGCTTTGGGACCTGTTTCTAACTTTTCTCATCATATCTCAGGATACTCTAAAACGTGTAGTGAAGGCTGGAGATGGGGCCATATTAGCAACTTCTCCCCCTTACACCCGGTACCTCAAATCTGGGGTTGACTTTGCCATTGTAAGTCCGGGCATGCCGCGTGTTGATATGTGGGTACAAGAGTTCTTACAACATGAGATACCATGTGTCGTGGCTGATTACTTGGTGGAGTATGTGTGCAAGCCTGGGTATTCGCTTGAGAGACATGTGCAATACAACACTCACACTTGGGCAGAGAGGTCATTTGCTAATATGCTAAGCCGGTCAGAAGAGATTGTTGAGGAGCAGACACCACCCGAAGATGATGGTATTAATGATGTACCGTGTCAAGTCTGCGGGTCTCGTGACAGAGGAGAAGTAATGCTGATTTGTGGTGATGAAAGTGGTGGTGTTGGGTGTGGTGTTGGTATGCATATTGATTGTTGCGATCCTCCACTTGAAGAGGTTCCGGAGGAAGAGTGGTTCTGCCCAAAGTGTAGCAATAACAGAAAGAGTGTGAATGTTTGTGCTGGCAAGAGTATCAAGAAGAAGACAAGGAGAAAGTGAATTTGGTCTGTTGTAATCCTTTTTGGGTTTTGTAGAAGGTACGGTGTCATCTCAAATTTGTACATTCAGTTGTGTAGACATAAACATTAGAAGAGTTGCATGAACCTCCTAAGAGTTAACAACAGGAACCTCTTTGTGGTGGAGCAAGTGATTTTGCTGTGTTGGTATTTTTGGTATTCTGTGTTTGTACGTTAAGTTGTAACATATATCATTGAAGTTCATTACAAGAATAGGTGCTGCACCTATATATTGCAATGGTCTCCTGTGGGATGGATGGTTTTTGGTATTTAGTTATATGGTGCTCTTTGTTATGTGAAATGAACTTAATAGCAAACCCTTTGGAGTGGGAACAAATAACATCTAAAGTCTTAAAGTCTCATAAAATCTGTATCATTTCTGATTCAGACTTACTTCAGCTGTCCTTATATTGATGCATTATTTTCTTAAGCATGTGTTTTTATTTAGTTCTGAATTCCAATTCATTTGACAGAAATCAGGTAGGTCGTACATACAGAAGGCTTGGCCCGTGTGGTTTTGGTATTTTTGTGAGGCTCAGCCGCCTAACTAATGACGCCATGAGCATTGAGTTGGTGAGTCTATGGAGTCCACTTTTCTTAATTAAACAGTTGTGATTGTTAAATACCATCTATTAATTTCTCTTAATTCCACTCCAAACCACTTTCAATTGTTTTTCTCATTCTAAATTCTCATCTAACATTACTCGGTTCATTTCCAACCCACCTAAACTCGATTATTTACAAGTACAACCCTAGGTAAATATTTGTACTTACATCTCAAATCCATATACCAGAAAACATCTAAAATAATGATTTGAATCGCATTTTGTTTAAGCTTAAAACACTGGGCCTCTCTGTGGGCTTTTCTTTTCAAGATTAAACTTTCGACTTTTGTCTCTATTTTTGTTTGGGCTATAAGCCTTCGTTTTTGGGCGTCTTTTGCCATTTGCTATTGGGCCTCTTTTGTTGGGATATTTGTAAAGTTTTTTTCCTCTTTAATTTAGTTTTCTTACTTACCGGGACAAAAAAAAAAAATCTTAAATAAGCTCATTTACAATGTTAGGCTAACATTTGGACAAAGAGCACAAGTTCATGTATAAAAACAATTTACTACTTTATACGAATAATATTATAAGTTCTATCCAATTCTAAAAGTATCCTACATTACATTGAGGAAATCAACCATTCGACTTTATATATTTATTATTATTGGGGTTGAAATACCATGATTATTATTATTTATTTATATATTATTATTGTTAAGATTGTTCATTGGTATACTAATAAGGTCATTTGAGTCATTTTTTCTCACTTAGTGTAATTTGGACATTTATAAAACATATTCAATTGACTAATTTAACCCGACGTCAGGAGTTACTAGAAAATTTTGAACAAATCTCAAAGGATGCCTAAGGTTATTTTGATAATAGTTTGATATTTGGATAAAAAAAAAATAGGGGTATTTCACCTTTATTATTATTTTGTCTTCTTAAAATTATATTTTATTTTTTAAGATACGAAAAATTAGAATAGCAATTATTTTACATTATTGGTTGGACGAAAAAATGCTCTATTTTCTGAGGCATCGGTTTTGAGTAGAAGAGCTCTTTCTAATATGATGAGAGAGAGAGAGAGAGAGAGAGAGAGAGAGAGAGCGCACATGATTCCCATCACATGCAGTGACTGACATCATCATATCTGGCCACGACTCCACTTTTCAATGTTCTCAAAATTCAAACATCACGTGTTTATTTTTCCAAACCCCAACATCTCATTTTAATAATTTTAGAGCTCTGTTTCTTGGGCCTAATTTGGCCCAAGTTGGTGGGGGCCACTACCACCCTGCGACAATCGATTCGGCCCAAATTAAGCCCAGTATATTTCAATTATTATATATTTTTATTTTATCCTCCAGGCCAATTGCTTTATTTTCATGGATAAACTGTAGTTCACGCAAAGGGTTCATCTTCGTCGCACACACTCCATTGGAGGCTTATTAGATTTAGGGCTTAAAAGGAGTGCGGAGACTTGAGAAAGATGCTCTCAAAAGCATGCTTCCACTTTTCTTTCACCATAAGAAAATACTATAAAATAACGACTAACTATATATATATATATATATATATAATTACATGTACTTATATAATATACATTAATTAAGGTAGTGTGAACATGTATTGAAAATTATATACATATTATCAGAATAACAATTGAGAAATAGTTAATGATACAACTGACTTCTGCTTAAACTTTATCTGCATCGAGAGTTTAAAAATCACAAAACCAGAGACTGACATCTGTGAGGGGCATGTTTTCCACTTTTCTCCCACCAACGCTCTACACATTTCCAGTTGGAGTGAACATGTACATCTGTATCTATTTTTGTCCACTTTCTGACTTTACATATATACATGTAAATTTATTTATATAAAAGTGTGTGTATAATATATATCTATATATATATATATATAGACCATTTTTATCCGCAATTGCATCTATCCATCTATCTGTAAGTATGGGGTCATGGGGAAGCTAGCTATCATCAGTTATGTCAAGCAGCTGATCCATGCCCTTGCCAGCTAGTGACATGACCTGTAGTATAAAATAAAGAATATTATAAATATTGAATCTTAATTTGTTGTATCTGTATAGTGCTTGTACAAATTGAGTCGTGTAAAATTTATATATAATGTATATATACAGTACTCAGTTATGAACAGGGTTCAGTAGCACTAATTAATTGTTTTCTTTTCTTTTGACTTCTTCAAAGTGTAATTAATTACCTAGCTGTCACAATTCCTGAATTTTCTTTTTTGGGCAGCACGTGACTGAATTGATCATCGAGCTCCCTACACAATGGTAATGAGAGTGGCCTGTCATTATTATGAGAACATCGCGTGAGGTCAACTAGGGTTTGGGGATTAAACCAGGCAAAAACAAGAAAAAAACAGAGAGAAGTTGGATTTTTATTGATTTGTTTACTTCAGTGTTTATGTGGTATCCGAAATCTTTGGTATCTCAATTTTGAAATGTTTGAATTGTGGGATCACTTCCATTTCTGGTAAAAAAACTCCCTATTTTATTTTAATTGTTCTGTTTTGAGAATTGTGACTCACAGCACGATTTTTAAAATAGAACAATTAAAGTAGAGCAGAGAAAGTAATGATTACGTTGTATCATTGACATCTCATTGACATCGTTAAAATACTCAATACATTTGACTCTAAATTTATTTGGATAATCTCCCTCATGAGATGCAATATCTTCTACACGACACTAATTAGAAATTCTCAATTATGTTGAGACAATTAAAGTCCTCAACGCATATTGACTAAATTTATTTGGACAATTTTGTGTTGTTTTTTTTTTTTTTTTTTTAATCATTTTATCACATTTAATTTTAGACAATTATAGAACCATGTGAAGATGGTTATCTTCAAATTTACCGGACAAAAATGAGGTACGGAAGAATCATTAGTTTAAAGCTATGAAGTACGGATACGGGACACGGGTATGACACGACACGGATACGGCGACACGGCAAATTTCAAAAAAATAAAACACGGACACGGCGGGGATACGCTTATAAAATTATATATATATATTCAAAATATAATTACTATAATCTTGTACAGATAAATAAAACAAAAATAAATTAAAAATAAAGTTGATCCAAATTCCAAACGAAGATGTGCAAAAGAGACATAGTTATAATGAACTAAATATGTATATGAATAAACATATATATTTTCAGTCTTTCACAAAGTTTTGTTCATGTAACTTATATATATATATATATATATATATATATATATATCTATCTTGTTCATGAAGAGAGATAATTGAAGAAGAGGAGAGATTGAGAGAGGAGTGAGAGAAAATAAATTTTGTCTCACAGAAGTGTCGGACCGTGTGTCCGAGCCTCGGACACGTGTGTCCAATAAAAAATAATATTTGGACACTTTACAGAAGTGTCGAACACGTGTTCGAGCCTCGGACAAGGGTGTCGGTGTCCAAAAAGTGTCCGACACTGGTACGGGACCTTTGGGAGGAGTGTTCGTGCTTTATTAATTTAAAATGAGAAAAATTTATCGCAACTACCGTTCGGGGGAAAAAAGTGGATGCAAATGAAGTGGAGGAAAAATAAAAGTGGGAAAGGAGGCTAATAATATCTCATTTAAGAAATTCTTACTGAGAGAGAATTAAGAACCTGTTTTTTTTTTTTAATATTTGCTACCAATTCATTAAAAGAGAGTTGCTACTCTTACGAGGTAAAAGTGGAAGAAATTAATGGAAGGAAAAGTGGAGGTAGAAGGTCTTTTTGGTTTGATAAAAGAAAAGAATACAGAAAAGAGAAAGGGGAAGGGAAAGCTTCTCATAATCACCCCACATTATTGTATTTCATTGCATGCGCAATGAGATTTTTTTTTTTTAAAAAAAAAGGTCCAGAAAGCATAAATACTTTACTAGAGGTGAGAACGACAGTATTGAATACTTGTTGGTTACGGTGAATATGCTTATTTCTAGTATTAGATAAGACTAAAAGCTAAAATATGGCAATCATACATTTTGAATACTTTTAGAATATTAATTTTGTCATTTTTAAAAAAATGAAATTGAATATATTTTAAATTATATTATGAGTTAATTAGACATATAGTATAAAATTTAAGAAGATAAAAATAACGAACATCTATTTTTAATGACTTCACACTCCTAAAATTTCTTAATAACTATATACAAGTTAGAACGACACTCAATAAAATTAACAATGACCTACTTAATCGTTACATGTGATCTTTGACTGTTTGACACGTAGTGATTTTTTTTGTTTTTCCCGCACTCACAAATTTCGTGTTCAAAAATCTAGGAACAAAAATAAATGTAACAAAAAATAATTTTTTTAATAATCAGGAAAAATGGGTACAATCCTCTTTAGGGAATTTATTACAATCAAAATCTCCCTCTGATTAGGGATGTCAATTTTTACCGCCCTGCTGGAGCCCCGCCCAATCCCACCTCGTTAATAACGGATATGGGAACACTTTTTATACTGTTGAGACGGGCATGGATACAAATTTTGTACTCGTCGAGGGTCACGGGGCGGGTAAGGGTTCAGTATACATATCCTAGGGGCCCGCCCCGCCCCGCCCCACTAAGCATATAACTATATTATATATATATATATATATATATATATATATATATATAATATTAATAACTTATTTTAGTAGCTTA